CCCAGAGCAGGACGAGTAAGTTCCTTAGCCGATCGGTTAGTACTGTTCCACCAATGTGGATATTTTTGATCAAAATCGGTAGAATAACCGTTCCGTGGCTCAATAAGTTAGATCTTTGGACTTCTAGCCACCAAAAGTAGGGGTTAGAGCCTCGGGGGTTTGATATGAGTACCGATGATGACTAATAAGCCAGAAGTGGACATTCCAGTCTCCTTTGTCCTTGTCGGTAATGGTTTTAATTAGCTGTCGTGCCCAAAAAACGAATCTGTGGTCGTCCGGTTGGCATTGGGTGCACTGGTTTACATGCGCACTAGATAAAGTTATATGTAGTATGTAAATCCATATGCCTACTTAGCCTAACCTGAGTGCATTGCCTCTAGAAATGCATAGTTTTTTCCTTATTACACAGATACCAAGATATTAGTTTTCTTCCACGCAAATTCGTGCTCATATGTTGGGGTTGGGGAGATTTTCCGTCTGACCACAATGAACGGCATCACAGCTGGCACATGGGATTTTTTAAATAACACCTTTTCTACGGATGTAGCCAACCCTGTCCTTAGGACCTGCAGGCGGGGTTCATAGGTGTGCTACCCATATTAGGCCTTTTTCAGTTGTGTTGCAACTAAATCGGGCACGTTGGTCTCGTATGGGAGACCAACTTATGTTCGTGTATGCGCGAACCTAGCTTGCGTCCAATCTGTCCCGTGTAATTGACGGGACAATTTAGACATGGTGTGCGATACACTACATCCAAATGCTCACTGGTATTCACTTGATCCTTGATTTTCATGACACGGCTGCGCATTGTTGTCTTGGGATGGTGTGCAATTCCGACGCCTAGTCCCGCGGCAATGCGTTCGGTTGCTTCAGATATGTCAAGGATGTATTGCTTTTCTACACGTTCAAATTTTAGTTGTTTTGTACACACGCCAACACTAGCCAACCAAATTGTTGCTGTTTTCCCATCTCTGACGATGGACTCCTGCAGGAGCTCGAAAGCTCAGACCAATAAAATCATGATTTCGGTGTTCGATTAAACTTCTTCTCAAAATATACATGTTCCCGGAATGCGAACAGGCAAGAGTTTCCTTGGTAGCGCACATATGTTCTTATATTA